GGGGTTTAGTTTTATGTTCACCTGTTTAAGGTTTAGGGTTCAGGGCTTAGGGTTTAGGGTGTAGGGCTTAGGTTTTAGGATTTATGCTCACGGGTTTAGGGTTTAGGGGGTTTAAGGCCGCCCCTCAAGTCGGAGCTAACTTCGTGTGCCAAACTGGCTGCAGTTCTCGTTTTTGCTGAACATTCGCATCAATATCCATACAGACAAGCTAAACCCAGTGCCTACACCGAGATTTCTGACTTCAGACGCAATAAAGCCCTGAGACCAAACCCGTGCCTAGGCCCTGAGAGCACGAAGCCCCAACTCCTGAGGCATTTCAAAGCCCACCGAGCCCTCTAGAAGACAACTCCCTACAAATGTTCGAATCTTTGCCAACTTTATGCTAAAATACTAAGAACACCAGAGAAAGAAGCTCCGTGTCCACTCCAGAGCCCTGCAAAATGTGAACCAGGCACCTGCGCCTCCCGGCACTTCTGCCCGAAAGCGCCTCGAACAAACCCAGCCGTGAACGGGGTTTAGGGTTTAGGGGGGATGGCAGCCGGGCAGTGCCGGGCCAGTACTCTCTACTGTGGAAGGCCACAGACAAGCTCCTCACCACCGACGGCCTCCAGCATGATGACTCTCCGCTGATCATTAGAGATAGAGCCACTTTGGGAGTTTGCAGTAAGGAGCATGGCGGCTCACGTTTTGCTGCTTTCTCTCTTTGATGTGCTCATCATGCGAGCTCTCGGTGGCTTTGGGAGCTGAAGATGTTGAGTACTCGAGATTTCGGAGTTCGTCTGAAATTTGACATCTGACGTGCAGCGCAGCTCGGGAGGCTCTCCAGGTTTCTGCTTAGGTACTATGTGAGTTTACTTCCTGTGCTGCTTCACTGCAACATAGGTTTCTGTTTTGGGAGGCCTGTGCTGTCGAGCGCTTAACACGTGATGAACTAACCTTCACCTTAGTCGCCCGCCACCATGACATCTACTGTAAACCGAGTCCCCTCCAAGATGGAGACAACACAGATTCACAAAATATTGATTTATGGTACTACATACGGTATACTCGAATCCAGTATAGTATACTATCGTATATGCGAAACACCGTCGGCATGAAATTGCACATCCAGCTCCAAACTTTTACTTCGGCACGATCGCAGTTTTTCAAGCGAGACTCAGCAGCTTTTTTTGTCAGAGCTGCCAAGCATTGCACAAGTTGCCTGTCGTTTCTTCAGTCTTCATGATCAAAGAACAGACCCGATGGCGTTGCTCAAGTGAAGAAGCCCTTATCTGACCTGAAGTACCGTAACATCCCAAGTTCCAAGCCCCCAAATATCCTTTTAAATATTCCGACAGCTTAGGCTTACATTCAAAAAGCGTATAGTGTCAGCAGAACAGGCCTAAATGCTAGACAGCTCTCTCAAAGCCTTGCGAGCTCTGATACAGACTTTGTTGTTCTTAGGAGTTCATGTTTATTTTTACTAACTACAACATCACGGGTTTATAAACACGGCCCTCGTTTATGATGGTTCTTAAATAAGAGCTTTGGGGACCCCTGTAGAAGAGAGTTCCCGGCAGCTCCTGGGCAATCAGGACGCGAGTCTCAAGAAGCTGGAGAAAGCCACCTTGAAGTGCAGGGGACTTGGGCTTGTGGCTTTTGCTTTCATTGGTTTGGTTTGGGTTTATGTAAGGGTCATAGGAATGGCGGGGGTTTAGTGGTTGTCTTGAACCTTCAGAATTACAACTGAGGGCTTTAAGGGTTCTTGACTTTGCACAGGGCTACAGGTTCAAAGTTGTCAAACTACTGCATTCCGCACAGCCATAAACGTGGTTCCATGGTTGGTTAGGTTTGGATTTGCTTGTAAGGAAACGTATTCCGAATGATCCTTCCTGCAGAAAGATTATTTTCGCAAACAGCAGTCAACACTTTAGGGCTGGTTGTAGTTTGCTGTCATACCTCTGGTTGACTTAGCAAATCATCCGGATCCAAACAGAACCTTCTTTGACCCTAAAACAAAAGCGGTTTTTGAAGAATTAACCTAGATCCCTAAAACCGCACACCCGCGGCCCAAGCCTACTCAAAATCCCAAACTCTGCACCCTCTGTAAGCCCCCTATGCCCTAGATTTCTCTGCGCCATCAGGTTTGGCACGTGGCGACCACGACTCCCTTCATCTCACCGTCACGGGCCCAGATGGGGGTTTCCCAAAATAGGGGACCCTAATATGGCACCCGAAATGGTAGGATCCCTATTACAAGGACCTCAAAATAAGGTACCCCTTGTTTTCGGAAACTCCCAGATGGCTCAGGCTCAAAGGCTCACCACCTCAAAGCGGTCATTTGGGGTCGGAAGACTTGGCCACGGTTTAAAGGCTTAAGGTTCAGGGTTTAGGGTTTTAGGGTTTAGGGGTTTTGGGCTCAAAGTTTGGGATAAAGTTGTCACCTGGGGACCCGAAGTACCTTTATAGTAAAAAAAGCCGTCCAAGAACCCGTGTCTGACTGGCTTAGGGCCTGTGCTACAGGATTTGGAGATTGAAGAGGGGGTTAAGGGTTTAGGGTTATATCGGTTTAGGATTTAGGGTTTAGAGTTATATCGGTTTAGGGCTTGGGGTTATATCGGTTTAGGGTTTAGAGTTATATCGGTTTAGGGTTTAGGGGTTATATAGGGGTCCGTCACTACCTTAGGTATCCAATTCCCAAAGGCCTGAAACTAGGGCACTAGGACCCCGCCCCTTGCGAAACCCTCAACCAAAACTTGTGGAAAACCTTCCGCTTACACGACCTGTACACAAATCCCTGTTAAATAGGACCCACCAAACCGATAGTATAAAGCGTTTTTCGTAACCCCACACCTAAGCCTTGAACCCTGGCGACCAAAAAAAGAACCCTAAACCCTGAAACCCTAAACAAAACCCCGCAAAACCGAAGCCTTGAAACCCTAATCCGGAAACCCTAAAATCCTGAAACTCTAAACCTTGAAACTCCAAAAAACCCTGAAACCCTGAAGGCCTAAGCCTTGAAACCCTGTCCCCCTGAACCCTACACCCTACACCCTAACCCTAAAGCCT